AGCTCATTTAGGTGTCCTACTAATTTAAAATTTATCTTATCTTATAATGAGTTACTCTCGTAAAAAAAAATTCTACTTACTAATTGGTATTTAAACTTGAACTCGTTCTAACTAAACGTATGGTAGACTATAGTCTTTAATTATGTGATTAACTTTTGCTAGCCTGGGGCGATATAAAACACAAAGAATCTGGACAGTCCATCTGTCACTTTGCTAACTGGTACCTAAAATCTGTAGACGGAATCACCTCGTCTAATCGTAACTTGTCTCTTACATGCTCTATTGTTAACCCTCATTAGAAACCCCCTTTAGACTTTGACTTAGGGACAAGGAGTTATAGGGACTCTGTTTACCCACCACATGTTCCAAGCTTTTGTCCATAGAGGATTGGTTCCAGGCTGCGCAATATATAGGAGAGCCTTCAACGTGCCGATCCTTCCCAACCTCCCGTCTGAATCACCCTCATCTCAGCCACGCTTAAAGCGTCGTAAACTACGATGTCAGATCGGTTATCCGAGGTTTGTCGCTGTACACTTAGCTTGCGACACCGGCAACTAAATCCCCCACCTAGCACAAAGTTCACCTGATACCTCTCCGTTCCCTCTAATGAGAAGTTTTGTGGGCTTTCTGGTCTGATCATAACCTCCCACAATCTTCCAGTCTGAGAATCAAGACATGATCATTATCTACGATTCTTAAAATTCAAGTGTATTTATGCTTATGAGGTGATACAGCAGCGTATTTACAATTAGGGAGGAGACAAAATGAATTAAATCTAGAAAAAAGAAGTGAGGACATATCGGCCATTAAAGTCTGAGAGGCAAGGCCTTCAGCCAGTTCAGGGCTTCCGGGGTGACAGAATGGAGATTGGAGATTCCTCCATTGAATTTGTACAGCGGGCAGTCATCTAGTATATGGGACATTGATTGTGGGACGTTGCAGGCACAATTTGGATCTTTGGTGTAGCCCCATAACTTCATCAGCTCTGCACACCTTCCCTGACCTGTCCTAAAGCGGTTTAGAATAATGAAATAGAGTAATTGATTTTACCCTAATAAAAAAAATCATACTTATACTCCTTTAGAAGGAGGCCTAACAAAAGGGAGCTAATACCTTCCTATCAATAGAGTTGTACAGTCCTGTGAGGTTATCGATCCTTACAAATAAGGAAATCAAAATTTAAAAAATCGAACCTATTAGTTCCCTAACATTATTCTAACGTACCTTTGGTCTAACAGTATAATAGTTTTTAACTTTGACAACATTCATTAGTCATTCCATTCATACATATTTCATTCACAGACTGCATACATACTATAGTTAAAAATTGCTACAAATACCAAAGTACTAATTAATCTCATCAATAGAACCTAATTATAAAATCTTTCAGAACAAAATGTGAAATCAAATAAAATATACCTAATTAAAACAAATTGGGGACTAAAGCCCTATTTACTCAAATAAAGTGCCTCTTACAAACTCTAATACAAATTATTTATATTTAAATAGATAAATAAATCAAACTATGTTGATATATTGTCAACAATCAAATCTGAAATCTAACCTAACATTGTAACTGTGCGTCTAACAGTTTGAAAAATCTTCTTATCTTGACACTTGGTGTCTAAACAAACGAATCATCAAAACTAGCACTTAAATTGGAGCGAAATTGAACTTCAAGCATTTACCTAATTGCCAAGTAGGGTAGGTCTACAAGCGTTTGCCAACCCTACTTCCTATATAAGGTTATTGGCGTCTTCCCTTCCCTGCTATTCAGCTAAACCCCTCCTTTAGAATCATAGGGTTTTCCGTACCCACTTGCTCTGGGATTTAACAACAGATATCACTTGTTATCCTATATATATATATATAACATATCTACTCTTAGACCACAACTGCCTTACACACTCTCATTAGGAATTCTCCTTGGACTGCATCCTGGACATATGGAATTACAGGGTGTCAAGTTTTAACCCAACGCATATTCCGAGCCTGCCCACGGTGAATATGTTACAAGCACAGCAGATATCTAGTGCGTCTAAGTTCCTTTGTTATTCTTAAAGTTGAACCATAGTTCAGGACCTTAAATAAAATTAAAACAAAATAAACTGTTGAACTTTAGGTCTTAAATCACAACCTGCTTTTATTACAGGATTGTAGCTTTAATAAACACGAAAATAAAAAAAAAAGAAAACTGAAAACCCTTGGATTTACTTCCCAACATTAAAGCTCAATGTAAAAATAAAAAAAAAAACTGAAAAACCCCTTTACAGTGACACTTAGAATCTAAAACCAAGGTTGTAGTTAAAAAAAACTGAAATTCTTTAAGACCACATTCTAAGACCTTTTAAATTACTTTCTAACACTTCACCATGATCAAAATTTAACTAAACATTAGTACACATTCTATAGACTCACTCATTGGCAGCCTGGGCATGATTTACACCCCGTGGGTTTATTGACCCTGGCTGAACGGCGTATTTCCAGGCCGCCTACATTGTCCTCAATTACCCCATTCACTATCCCTAGTGGATTTCTTAAGATTGCCGTCTCTTGTGGTTCCTCTGGTTCTACAGGTCTTTGGGAATATATAGGATACGTTGGATGTACCCAGTGATCTTCATTATTGATGACATCATCTATCTGTTCTTGTATGTCTTTGTCCCCCGTAGGGTAAGTCTTTACCGGGGCATGATAGGCCTTCATCCTGTCTATGTGGATTTTATCTAAGTTCCCCATCTCCAAATCCTTCAAAAGATAAACAGTGTCGCCCGCCCTTTGTAATACCTCATATAGTCCTTTGTACCTCGGCTCGAATTTATGACGTCCTTTCGTCTCATGCATTCTCTTTATCAGCATGCATGGTCCTCAGTTGTTGGATCTACGGGAACTAGGCATTAGATTCCATCTCGACCGTAACGGTAGTATTATGACCCATAGTGGTGGGCAAAGTGGGGAATACGAAGTGGAAGGGGGGGAAGAGAGACTTTCCTTACAATGGTGCACTAACACTAAAACAATGTTGTGACAACACTTTAAAATGACATTAAAAAAAAAACTCTTAACAATGATCTTTTAGCACTAAAGCATATATTGTAACTAAAAATAAAATAAAACTGAAAAACCTTTAAAGTTCACTATGACACTAAAACAATCTTGTATCTAAAAAAAAAAAAAAACTGAAAAACTCTTTAAATTACATCTTAACAAGGTTGTGAAAGCTCCTTTCAACGATGAACTAACATTAAAACAGGTTGTGAAAACTCCTTTCAATGATACACAAACACTAGGTTGTAGCCTTAAAAAAAAGAAAAACTGAAAGGAACTGAAGCCCTTTACAATGATCATTTATGACTAAAGCACTCATTGTGGCTTAAAATAAAATAAACTGAAAACTCCTTAGAACTCATCCTAACACCTAAGACAAATATGTAGCTTAAAATAAAAAGAAAAACAACTGAAACTTTAAGATTCATTACAACACTAAAACAAACTCGTAGCATAAAAATAAAAGAAAACTGAAAATTCTTCAAATCACAGCCTATCACAAAGAACAAAGTGTTGTTTGAAAAAAAAAACTGAATAACTCTTTAAAATTATATACCAACACTAAAACAAAATTGTAGCCAAAAAAAAAACTGAAAACCCTTTAGGGAAATTCTGGCTTCTCAAAAGGAGAATACATACTTGTTATTTAATATGACCTAACATTATAACTAATATAGACCTATGTATATAAATTAGTGTGTACAGTTGCTGAAATTTAGGTAAATCAGCTTATACAAACTCTCAGTGCATATTTTGTACTATTTACAAATATATATTGGCCTCTAGTCTAAAACAAATTATCTATCAACACTACGTGGTGAAGAGCCAAAATAGTTCTATCGAGGCGATAGTGCGGTCAACAGCTACGCTTTAAACATTGAATGCACTTTCTTCTATCATCTTCCCACCGTCTTTCTATCAATCTTTATCTTCTATTTACAAACCCTTTACCAACTTTCCTCAATTCCTTCTCTTTCAACATCTCTCCGCATCTTCCTACAATTCTCTCTGTCGATTTTCGACATGCTTCGACACCTTTTTAACATATCTCCTTTACACTTTATAACACCTTTCACTGTCGATTTCCATCTCTTTCCTTCCTTTCATCTCTATTTCATCATTATTCGTCTTTCTAATTCATCGCTTTCTATCCCTCTCAACACTTCTCATCTCTTTCAACACCTTTCAAAACCTTTTTGCATCTTTTAACACTTTCTTTCATCCTCTCGTCTCTATTCATTTCTTTCGACATACCTCTCTCCATCTCTTACAATAGCTTGTAACACTCTTTCATCATCCTTACAATATCTTTCGACATGTTTCTACACCTTTCTCAACATCTCTCGATACCTTTCGACACTTTCAACATCTTTTAACATCTTTCTGTCTCTTTCTCATCACCTTTCAACGCCATTCAATTCCTTTTCATTGCTTTTAACACATTTCAACGCCTTTTCATCCCTCTGAGTCTCCTCGAAACCCATCATCGGGAACAAATCCCAATATTACTCTAGTCTACTTTGATATCTCGGGAGTCCTTTCTAGGAATCTGCTCCTCCCTTGTCACTTCTTACCAAGGCTGACGACCTACCCTCCTATTTACAAGCATGCAATTTCCTCCTAATCCTGCCTCCCCCTGGTCACCCCCTTTTCAGGAGATAAGCTTATCTCGGCTGTCTTAGAGATCCTGTCTAGACCGGTCGGTAAACATTACTGTAGTTGCTGGGAATTTGACAAGTCACTTTTCTTTAGCATTGTCTCTCTCCATACGAGATAGGGCAACTTTATCATGGAAAAGCAGAGATATATGTAGTATATTTTGAGTTATATGGTTCACAACTTTCTTCTGATATTCATTATATAACCCCATATCTAAATATTAAAATATGTATCGAACAATGGAAGTGACGATAAAACAAAGAGGAGGTAGACCAGAGACGACAAAGACCAGACGAAAAACAACCTGGCGCCATAAAGTAACGTGATTATAGGAACCAATCAGGACGCTCCACCTTATGCGAGCGTCCGATATAAAAGGCCCAGAAATGGGACAAAAGCAGTTGTTCAGTTAGTTGTTTTCAGAGCCACGCCGTTATACGGTCGGGTCTCTCACCCCTATCCGCGATGTAGGCATCCGCGACGCCCGTGGTTCGACTTGCCTTCGTCCGTGGTCTACCTCTACCTTCTTGGAGTATAATCTTGTATCATTCATTTTGTGCCTTTTTATTTTTATAACCTTGATTTTTTTTTTCTCATTGATACACCACCATTACAACATCTTTCTCTTTTTAACTTGTAGCTTAATAATAATTTTAACTAATTTGTATACAAATTATTTCTTTTATTTTTTTTTATAATAGGTTTGTTAGGTTATCATTCATTACATGTCATTCCCCCAACCAAACCTTCATCACCGGGGGCACATTCTGTAGTATATTTTGAGTTATATGGTTCACAACCTTCTTCTGATATTCATTATATAACCCCATATCTATATATTAAAATATGTATCGAACAATGGAAGTGACAATAAAACAAAGAGGAGGTAGACCAGAGACGACAAAGACCAGACGAAAAACAACCTGGCGCCATAAAGTAACGTGATTATAGGAACTAATCAGGACGCTCCACCTTATGCGAGCGTCCAATATAAAAGGCCCAGAAATGGGACAAAAGCAGTTGTTCAGTTAGTTGTTTTCAGAGCCACGCCGTTATACGGTCGGGTCTCTCACCCCTATCCGCGATGTAGGCATCCGCGACGCCCGTGGTTCGACTTGCCTTCGTCCGTGGTCTACCTCTACCTTCTTGGAGTTACCATCTAGACCTGCCTCTGTCTCTTGCTGTCCCAGTGCGGGAATCCCATCACGCACCCACTACCACGACTGCCCAGCACATTCCACATCGGGTTTACTACATATATATGTACAAAAATCGGCTGTCCTACTCTTTGCTGAACAATATTCCCTTCAAGAAATTATGCAAGTCTTTCACAGAATCGAAGTTTCTAGATGCTAACTATGACTTTGGTGTGATCTTATAAATATTGTGCTCTGGTTGAATCAGACTATGCAGTTCCTCACGTCCCAAAAAGGAAGTTCTTAATATTGCTGACAACTCTTAACTCACAGGGTAGTAGCTTATAGAATTAAGTTGTTCATCTAGGACATGTTCATGCGGATGAATGAAGCCCTTCTAGTAGGTCATAGGCGTTTATCTGATAACAGATGATCTAGGTAAATTCGTTGTCTTGCGTTTTTACTTTATGCAACAGGTAATGCCGCTCCAAAGGACCTTAACTTCAGGGTTAGAGCTCGTTGCTCCTTTCAGAATGAAGTGGTTGTCAAAACATTGATGTGGGAAGAATCGTACATTTGACCAGTGTATATCGTTGAATATAGATTATGCCGTCTCTCTCATTGCCACCCAGGTACTTTAGGGTGAAACTTGGTTTATTGGCTGTTACACGCGAATCCCGTCCGGCATTCAATAAGATATCAATGGTGATCTTTGTCACGTCCAGGAGGCCATCCCATAAGCGACCAAATCAACTTTCCCCCGACTTATAACACCGTCTCATCGCGGTAATTGAAATTAACTGGAACCAAGTAGGGATCTTAATCTTGTATCTTAGTTAATTTTATCAGTTCAACTTGTTTTCTCAATTTCTTCTTGATACACTGGCCTGACACACTACACTTCTCCTAGTCAGTAGCAACTTCAATCAGTTCCAATGAAAAGGCCACTTTAAGGCGTCAGTTTCCTGTTAAACTCACGTATGGTTCAAAAAAAAAAAAAACTTACATATACTACAGTGGTATCTGCTCCCACTGGCATTATCATTCAGTATGATATCCATTTACTTTATTTATTCAACTGTTATTAGCTGGATCGTTGTAATACCTTTCTATCGTTACTCCTAGACCTCCGCGCAAACATTGTCTTTGACGTGACTAATTCCTTAAAGTCCTGCCTTTTTAAACACCCTGTTAGTTAGAATTGTCTTAATTAGTCACTGGAGTTATCTGCGTTGAGCGGACTAAGCCACCTTATCTAGATTTCCACTCTAACTCCAGGATCTAGACTGTCCAGATCTTAAAAAAAAAAACTATATCTAAACACTATTATCATTGAAAGGAACCACATATCTGATTCGTGAGCGTAATCGGAGCTTGCCTCTACAAAACACGATAATTATATGAAGTCTGACATTTTATATATTGAATCAACACTATTGGGATATCTCTCTCGTTTTCTCTAAGGGGCGTGGGTCTTAATTGAAAGGAGATGCTCAAACCCATACCACCAGAATACTATGACTTTTGTTGATATACATTCTCTTACATTTGCCCTGACAAAGCAATCCTTCTCCCGTTAGTAAAGAAAGAAATGCTAAATATACACGGGCTTAAATTCGTATCTGAGCAGACCTTCTGCTGGTGGTTATCTATTGTAATTAGATGCAGACAATGATGTCTTATTCGTCCTCATTCTAGGAAAGGTGCTTCAGGGAAGTGGACAGAATAGTTGGAAATTTCATAAAAAGGAAAAGGTAAATCTTAATTATGACATGTTGAATTTTATCGAGACTGTACCACCACGCAAATGCCTATATCGTAGGTTGTACCAAAAAACAAAATGTGGAAAGGTGTCGGAATTCTACTCTCGAAGGATTATATTAACTAGGAAAACAACTCTGGTTATCGTGGTACTGGTACCCAAGTGTTTGCAATAAATGTTGCTATAAACTAGATATATAATTAATATTAGACGGAATTTGCTTACAATTACCAGAGGGATAAAGACCCAGTAAAATTATTAATTCAGTCGACCAGTTTCTTTATAATCTAAATATTTTAAGAGGGAGGCGATGAAATTAAACCTTTTGTCCTGGGGGGTATATGCCTTTCGAATCAACAAGAAAATCATAGAGAAAAACATGTCGTTTCTTCATAATAGTCTAAAGCGCGATAAGTAAATGTTTGCGATAACTAGATAGAAAGAATCACGATTTGTGTTACCAAAAAAAAAAAAATAAAAGAATTATCTTAAAGATGACATGTGGATCATTTGCATAATACTCAATAACTTCATACAAAATGTTATTTATGAAACATTTTAGCTTTTAAAACTAAAGGATGTACTAAATATGGCGCCGTCTCTATGCATATCATATCCGTACAATATAAAATCGAAATATGCTAGTCTAATTGTGAGGGGGCCAAGTTAAAAAAAAGTTAATGCTTAAACTTTAAAACGCTGGTAAAAAATAAATTTATACTGCTTTATCACTTTAATGATTAGATTTGTGGTAAATAAGACTAAATAAATTTAATTACTAGCCATAAAGTTGGATGTAACACGAACTGAAAAGTCGGGTGTTGTGCGCGTCCATCGGCCGCCATTTTGAATTTTTATCGTGATTGTATCGTCACGCAAATATCGTAAATTATACCATATCGGGATAAAAAGGATCCACAATGGTCAGAATCCTCGAATAACCCCTTGGGGTTATTTCTAATGGTCCTATGAAGTCTAGAGCTAGGTGCTCAAAGGGTTTTTCGGGTCTAAAGTAGGGAGCACTTGCGGCTTTGGCTACGCCTTGATTCGATAGCTGGCAGCTCTCGCATCTGCGTATATATTTCTGGACTTGTGTCCTCATGCAAGGCCAGTAATAGTCACCCTTCAGCCTTCTCATAACCTTTCTAACTCCGAAATGACCTCCAGTAGCGATGTCATGATGATAGCTGATCACTGTTTCCCTAAAACCTGTAGGAACCACCTTCACCCAGGTACCCCTTGCATTCTTTGTAACGAGGTATTTGTCTAGTAACCTATATTCCCTGTTATTATACCTCTCCGTGCTGCTTGGTTTTAGTTTTGTTAACTTATTCATTACTGGGGCCCATCCTTTCTCTTGAAGTAAACCTTCCCATATCTGATTACTATTTAATAAGGGGGGCCGACGGTCTCTTACCACCGCGGCCACTACCCTCCTATATTGTGGTAGGTTTGGATCATCCTCGCACGGGAACCTACTAAGGAAATCGGCTACCGTGTTTTCCTTCCCCGGGACATATATGAATGTAACGTTGAAGTCTTGGATGATCTCTGCCCACCTAGACAGTCGGGCGTTCTTATAATCAGACCCCTTATTATAAGTAATCGGTTTATGGTCAGTATGTACTTCTACTCTACTGCCCGCCAGGAGGTGTTTAAAGTGTTGTAGGGACAACACTACTGCATAAGCCTCCTTTTCTATCGTGGAATAGCGGATCTCAGGACCAGTCAGTCTCTTGCTATAATAAGCAATTGGCCTCACTGTCCCATTGACCTCCTGTTGGAGGCAAGCGCCTACCGCTATCCCACTGGCGTCAGTGTTCAGGATGAAAGGCATCCCAATTGTTGGGTGAATTAGTAGTGGCTCGCTGATTAATATCCCCTTCACCGTCTCAAAGGCTGACTGCTCTAACATACCCCAAGCAAATCTATGTCCCTTCCTTAATAGGTTGCTCAGTGGAGCCAGGACCTCACCTGCGTTGGGAATAAAGCGACGGTAGTAGTTAATTGTACCCAATAGACTTCTGACTGCCTTAATGTTATGAGGTCGTTTCAAATTCCTGAGAGCGGCGACATTATCCCACATGGGTTTGATCCCATTTTGGTCGATTATATGACCCAGGTACTCTACTGAGTCCCTGAAGAGATAGCTCTACCCGTATTTGGCCTTCAAACCGAACTTACTCAGGCGTTCGAGTACAGCGGCGAGGTCCGCTACATGCTGCTCGTGAGAGTCGCTGTAGACAATGACGTCATCGATGTACAGGCGAACGCATTTGAACAACAAGTCACCCAGGACCAAGTTCATGGCCCACTGGAAGACCTGTGCTGAGTTTTTAGCTCCCTGTGGCAAACGCGTGAAGCGGTATCTCCCCCAGGGCAGAGAGAAGGTAAAATAATCTCTGTCACTTTCTGGGATGTGGATCTGGAAGAATCCAGAAGTCAGATCTAATGTGCTGAAGACCTTTGCACCCGCAAATGCGCGCAGATTGTCTTCAACACGGGGTATAGGGAACGGGAAGAATTCAGTTGCCTCATTGATCATACGTAGATCCATGGTGATGCGAACACTACCATCAGTTTTGGCAACCGGGAATAGAGGGGAATTCCACAGAGAGGTGCTCCCTTCTTTTATCCCTACTTACTCCAGCTCGTCCACTAACGCTTTCACCTTTGAGACTAGTTTGTTCGGGATTGGATATTGCCTCCTATATACTGGTTTGCTAGTCAGCATCCTCAGTTTAGGGGCTGTGATGGTGGAGCCATTCCCCATATCTTTTATATCATTGCAGAAGCAATGACTGAAGGCCCTGAAAATATCGTGGCCCGTGTGGATCTCGTTTAGGGGTATCCTGGGTGGTTGAGGAGACATTTCTATTGTTTGTAGTGAGGAGAGGAAGGCCGACTTGGTCGGATCCTCCTTCCTTTCGTAGTCGGACCTAATACTACCGTCGTAGCTAAGGTGTAGTTTTAGAGCTCGGAAACCTGGTAATCCGAGTATGCCATCAAATCCCAATTCCCCCATGTGACAATACTCGAAGGTCGTTCTTACCTCCCTAATGGGCTTACCGTTCACCACTGCCCCTATTTCTAACACCTCACTTCCTAATGACCTTAAAGATTTTCCTGATATACCTTTAAGGTAAGTAGGCTTGTCTAGTCCCTCAGTGCATAAATTTAAATTGTCAATATTTACAATGTTGGCCTCTGAGCCTGAATCTAGGATAAATTTGAGACACTTCTCGTCCAGAGACCTCCCTTTATTCAAAATATATACATTTATGGCAGGTAAACTGGCCGCAAATCCCCCTCCTGCCTTGAGGCAAGCCGGACCTAGTCTTTTCTCTGCTTCTGCCGGCAGTCCCGGATGAGATGCCCTGGCTCGCCGCACCCGTAGCACTTGGGGGGCGGTCTCCCTGCACCCTGCTTCTTGTAGTCCACTCCAGGGTTCTCCTCCCTTTCACCGTTGGGTTCCCTCCTTTGTTGTCTAGGCGGAGATGGATTCCGTTGTTGTCTGGGTGGTTGTTGTGCTGGTCTCCTCTGCCAGTTCCTAAAGGGGGCTCCCCTCCTGTTATCCTGGGCGTTGTCTCCGTAATCCTTTCTCCCTGCGGGGTGTGGTGGCCACCTTCCGCCCCCGCTATTTGCACTATTGGCACTCCCTCTTTGTCTTCTAAGGGCTGCGTTCTCTATTTCTAGTGCCTCCATTTTCTTCTCCAGGTCGGCCAATTTGTTGCCCATGTCACCCAGCCTCTGACCGTTCCTGTCGGCACTGGAGCGCTGCGCCTCCCTGTAGTCTTCCTCTCTCTGTTCCAGCCACTGTAGCTTGGTAACTAGGGTTTCCCAGGGTTCGCCTTGGTATAGATGAGCCTTCTCCCACAGGCTGGGGCAGAGTCCGTCGATGAAAACCTCCGCGATTTCCGAGGTGCCTAACTTCAGGCCATCCGACTCTGCTCCCCGGCCCCTTGTCTACATGAGAAGAACTGGCTCCTCATCTCCCTTGTAGAGACCCTCTTTCGGAACCTCCCCTCTAGGCTCTCCTTCAATTCTTCGTATCCGAGGCGGATTTGCTGAGATTGTAGGGCAAACTCCCTCGCAGCCCCCCGGAGGTGGTTGTCCAAGAGGATTCTTTTCCTGGCGTCGTCTAGGGCCTTCAGGTCGTAGACAAGTTCAAAGTCCTTTATGAATTTTGTGAAGGGGACTATGCCCTTCCCTTCAAACTTCTCCAGGTTGTACAGCATGGAGGGCAGCTGGGCTTGGCTAGTTGCGGCGTTCTCTTCATCAGCAGGCATGGTCCTCAGTTGTTGGATCTACAGGAACTAGGTATTAGTCATTCACCCTGGTTGTAACGGGAGTATTAGGACCCGTAGAGGCAGGCGGAGTAGGGAACACAAAACAGAAGGAAGGGGAGGGGTCTTTCTTAATCATGTTCCTAAGACACTATGGGGTTCACGTTTCAAAAGGAAATTGGTATTCAATAACATAGAAACCATACATGTATGTGTGTGTGGATGTGAACGCAAACATCGCGTTGGGTAAAAATGAAGATCCTGTAAAAGAAATCCGAGTGATGTGGACGCAAACATCGCTTTGAAAAAAAAATGAAGATTCTATAAAAGAAACCCGAGTGATGAGAACGCTAACATCGCGTTGTAAAAAAAAATGATTCTATAAAAGAAACCTGAGTGATGTGAACGCAACATCGCGTTGTGAAAATTGAAGATTCTATAAAAGAAACCCGAGTGATGTGAACGCAAACATCGCGTTGAAAAAAAATGATTCTATAAAAGAAACCTGAGTGATGTGAACGCAAACATCGCATTGTGAAAATTGAAGGTTCTATAAAAGAAATCCGAGTGATGTGAACGCTAACATCGCGTTGCAAAAAAATGAAGATTCTATAAAAGAAATCCGAGTGATGTGAACGCTAACATCGCGTTGTAAAAAAAATGATTCTATAAAAGAAACCTGAGTGATGTGAACGCAACATCGCGTTGTGAAAATTGAAGGTTCTATAAAAGAAATCCGAGTGATGTGAACGCTAACATCGCGTTGCAAAAAAAAAGAAGATTCTATAAAAGAAACCCGAGTGATGTGAACGCTAACCTCGCGTTGTAACAAAAAAATGATTCTATAAAAGAAACCCGAGTGATGTGAACGCAAACATCGCGTTGTGAAAATTGAAGGTTCTATAAAAGAAATCCGAGTGATGTGAACGTTAACATCGCGTTGCAAAAAAAATGATTCTATAAAAGAAACCTGAGTGATGTGAACGCAAACATCGCGTTGTGAAAATTGAAGGTTCTATAAAAAAATCCGAGTGATGTGAACGCTAACATCGCGTTGTAAATAAAATGATTCTATAAAAGAAACCTGAGTGATGTGAACGCAAACATCGCGTTGTGAAAATTGAAGGTTCTATAAAAGAAATCCGAGTGATGTGAACGCTAACATCGCGTTGTGAAAATGGAGATTCTATAAAAGAAACCCGAGTGATGTGAACGCTAACATCGCGTTGTAAAAAAAATGATTCTATAAAAGAAACCCGAGTGATGTGAACGCAAACATCACGTTGTGAAAAATGAAGGTTCTATAAAAGAAACCCGAGTGATGTGAACGCAAACATCGCGTTGTAAAAAAAATGATTCTATAAAAGAAATCGAGTGATGAGAACGCAAACATCGCGTTGTAAAAAAAAAAAGAAGATTCTATAAAAGAAACCTGAGTGATGTGAACGCAAACATCGCGTTGTGAAAATGGAGATTCTATAAAAGAAACCCGAGTGATGTGAACGCAAACATCGCGTTGTGAAAATTGAAGGTTCTATAAAAGAAATCCGAGTGATGTGAACGCAAACATCGCGTTGTAAAAAAAATGAAGATTCTATAAAAGAAACCTGAGTGATGTGAACGCAAACATCGCGTTGTGAAAATGGAGATTCTATAAAAGAAACCCGAGTGATGTGAACGCTAACATCGCGTTGTAAAAAAAATGATTCTATAAAAGAAACCCGAGTGATGTGAACGCAAACATCACGTTGTGAAAAATGAAGGTTCTATAAAAGAAACCCGAGTGATGTGAACGCAAACATCGCGTTGTAAAAAAAATTATTCTATAAAAGAAATCGAGTGATGAGAACGCAAACATCGCGTTGTAAAAAAAAATGAAGATTCTATAAAAGAAACCTGAGTGATGTGAACGCAAACATCGCGTTGTGAAAATGGAGATTCTATAAAAGAAACCCGAGTGATGTGAACGCAAACATCGCGTTGTGAAAATTGAAGGTTCTATAAAAGAAATCCGAGTGATGTGAACGCTAACATCGCTTTGTAAAAAAATATGATTCTAGAAAAGAAATCGAGTGATGAGAACGCAAACATCGCGTTGTAGAAAAAATGAAGATTCTATAAAAGAAATCCGAGTGATGTGAACGCTAACCTCGCGTTGTAAAAAAAAAATGATTCTATAAAAGAAACCTGAGGGATGTGAACGCAAACATCGCGTTGTGAAAATGGAGATTCTATAAAAGAAACCCGAGTGATGTGAACGCTAACATCGCGTTGAAAAAAAATGATTCTATAAAAGAAACCCGAGTGATGTGAACGCAAACATCACGTTGTGAAAATTGAAGGTTCTATAAAAGAAATCCGAGTGATGTGAACGCTAACCTCGCGTTGTAAAAAAAATGATTCTATAAAAGAAACCCGAGTGATGTGAACGCAACCATCGCGTTGTAAAAAAATGATTCTATAAAAGAAACCTGAGTGATGTGAACGCTAACCTCGCGTTGTGAAAAATGAAGATTCTATAAAATAAACCTGAGTGATGTGAACGCAAACATCGCGTTGTGAAAATGGAGATTGTATAAAAGAAACCCGAGTGATGTGAACGCAAACATCGCGTTGTGAAAATTGAAGGTTCTATAAAAGAAATCCGAGTGATGTGAACGCTAACATCGAGTTGTAAAAAAATGATTCTATAAAAGAAATCGAGTGATGAGAACGCAAACATCGCGTTGTAAAAAAAAAAGAAGATTCTATAAAAGAAACCTGAGTGATGTGAACGCAAACATCGCGTTGTGAAAATGGAGATTCTATAAAAGAAACCCGAGTGATGTGAACGCAAACATCGCGTTGTGAAAATTGAAGGTTCTATAAAAGAAATCCGAGTGATGTGAACGCTAACATCGCGTTGTAAAAAAAATGATTCTAGAAAAGAAATCGAGTGATGAGAACGCAAACATCGCGTTGTAAAAAAAATGAAGATTCTATAAAAGAAATCCGAGTGATGTGAACGCTAACATCGCGTTGTAAAAAAAAATGATTCTATAAAAGAAACCCGAGTGATGTGAACGCAAACATCACGTTGTGAAAAATGAAGGTTCTATAAAAGAAACCCGAGTGATGTGAACGCAAACATCGCGTTCCCACAGGCGATCATATGGAAGGAACCTTCAAAAGCTTAATACACCAATAACTATGACAAAGATATCCTCAACTCAATGCAGGTAACCTAATTGACAACAGGGACGTTAACACAACGAAACCCCTAGCTCACAATCCAGGGACAATCAAGATTATCACATTTTGATACATCGGAGGTTATTGGTAACCAAAAAAAAAAATCAGGCAAGTTCACCATGAACCTCAAGCCTGCTGAACGCCTGGACGAATATGAGGAATTTGTCAAGTTTAGTAAGAAAAGGAAGTCAAGTAATGTTCAATATGTGGTAGATTTAGAATTGATTGACGAGTTCTACAAAAAGGATAGCCCCATCAAACAGAGCTAAAAGAATAAAAAAAAAAACCTTTACGATTCAATCCAACACTTAAACAAACTCATAGCTAAAAAAAATGAAAATAAGGCTGAAACTCTTTAAAGCACAGCCTATCACCAAGTACAATGTTGTACATTGAAAGCTTTTATTAGTCTAAATAAAAAATTCGTCTAACTAAAGTTATCAACATCAAAGCCAAGATTGCAGCCAATAAAGATTGTTTCTTATCAGGAGAAATACATATTTGTTATTTAATATAAAGCCCAATATTAAAACAAATATAGTCCTATGTATATAGATTAGTGTATACAGTAGCTGAAATCTAGGTAAATCAGCTCACGAAAACTCCTCGTGTATTTAAAAAGAAAATCCTCAATTTTATAAGCTACATCCTCAGCAAACCTTGTTTCAATAGGGGGGGGCCCACTTCCTGTCCGTAACAAACCCTCCCATGTCCGGTCGTTATCTTCCAAAAAAAAAAGGGGGGGGGTCCACGGTTTCTAATTTTAATTGCCTTGACTGCAATTCCCTTATCTTGTGACTTCCCCAGAATTACCCCCGCTCGGGGCCTATCGAGGAAGTCAGCCATCGTGTTATCTTTCCCCGCAACATACTCGAATGGCGCGTCGAAGTCCTGGAAGATCTCTGGCACATTGTTAACAACTTACAAATTATGATTACACAATTGTTGAATATCTGGAAATTTATCCCACCAATTTACTTAATCCCTTAACATGTGTACGTGTTCATTGTCTCTTAGAGACTGTTATCAGAAACTTTTCTCTTGTATTTATACAGTATGAGGTACAGTAATTAAAGGCTGCATTTCCATGGGTTCATCCCTCTTACAACATGCTGGTACGAAATCAAATGCGGTCATAAGATCATTGTCTACGGGATAACAGGTGCACATGGGATTGGGAAACTGGCAAAGTTATTTCGCCCTTCAAGACACTTAATTGTGACTGAGTTTTCTGCTGAGTTATGTTGATACACTATGAATTTGGTAGGGAAATTAATTCGTAGGATTGTGTTACATATCATGGGCTTTGTTTGTTCCTGGGTTAGAAAATTTATATTATTCCTTATTACTGTCAGTCTGATAATTACATTCCTGGCTCATGAGATATAGGTGTGCAACTTGTATAATTCACTGTTTAAATATATGTGGACATTTAAGGATTTACAGGAGTATATCTGATATGGAGAGGTCACCTCAGCTCGATGTATCAACATTTTGTTTTGGAATTAGCGCCCCTTTCTAGGTGGACTTCACTGCCCCATTTATGGCTCAAGTGTATCACCTTGTTTGTCAATTTTAGGAAACGTCATCTCGTCCTCGCCTTCCTTCTCTCCATGCTGGTACATCTTCAATGACAATTTCCATGTGGTGAACACACCCTTTTAGCGGTCTATCGGCATCCAGTGATCAAACTTGGCAGAAAACGTCGTCAAAGGGGGCCGCCCTTCTCGCGTGTCATGCCTTCTAAACCAACCATGATACCGCCTCACCCCTACAGGTTCCGAATTACATTCAATGTTATATCTTTGCTCGGGTGTGTGTCCAGGCTTTATCAATCCTTATTCACAGCCTTTAGGTGATATTACTCCGCACTGGGGACTCGCTTCTCGCTAATTTCCTCATTATATGCAAGTGTCAAAATCGAGCCTCGATAAACCCTCCTGTCTCCTATACCCCCATCATTAGATAGATCCTGTCTCTAACACAGGTGGCTTTTGCTGCCTTTGTCTTCAATTTAAAGCTGTCCAAGCACACCTCGGGATATCTCAGCTGTCGTGTAGACACAAGCCCCAGCCATCTCCTTTCCTTTGAATATATTAAAAATATTATCCCAGGTAGTTGTCATAAGTCAATAAATAGTTCCACAGTGACTAAAAGTACTCGCGCAAATTGGTCACTATATCTATTCCTTGAGATTCTGCCATTGGAATGTTAAAACCAGGTTCCTACCCATTATTGATTTCAATTTAAAAAAAAAATTCAAGAAGAGATGGTGATCGAACTTCTCTCTTCACGGGTATGCTAACTGTTCTTCAATTCTACTTTCATCTTAAAGCTCATTTATTTGTCACTCTCCCAATCCACTATGCGCTGGAGAAAATCGAATAACTATCTCTTACAATGCTAGCCCTAATCTGGATGCACTGGCTAGCATAACTTGAAAGAAAGCGCTATAAAATAAAGTTAAGAAATTTGTAGCCGGCAATAATTAACAGAACTCACCTCTGCTGTGAGGAATCATATCAGAGCTATGATGGAAAAAAAAATTCTAAGTCATTTCAGTAGACTACTGTAAAGCACTGATCACCGTCCTAAATTTGAGCCATGGGAATCCAACCTCATTCCCCCATACTGTATAAAATAATTTAAGAAAATAAATTAAAATAAGATAAAATTGTAATCAATGGTGCTCGCAACAGAATTTAGAAATGATTGGAACACATAACATTTTAAGAAATGTCCAGAAAGCAGGATACCCAACCACCTTTATATTAAAACACTTCCACAAAAGGTATAACAATCAATAACCCAATAAACAGAACCACAAATATCTATAGGGCGATATGTTACATTCCATACTCACAAACATCTATAGCAATAGCCAACCACTTAAGAAACTTCGGCATCTAAACATATTACAGTAATTCCCCTAACATAGGCTCCACCATTAAAATCCACTATCTAAAATAATCCTAATATCATAAAACTCACTAACCAAAACAGAAATAAAAGGCAATATATTCCATAGAGTGCAACAACTGCCAAGCCAAGTACGTGGTGGAGACAGGAAGGAGAGACATCAATAGAATGTATGAACATAGACGCAACGTTATTAATCAAGACAATAGATCTCTAATTTTCCAATACTGCAAAGAAACAGGCCACACTTTCGCATTAGGAGGACCTAGAATGCATTACAGTAACATAAACAGCATATATAAAAAGGCTTATGATTGATTCTCTATTATTCAGAAAACACAATAGCATTAATAGAAATAGATTTGTCCGAAACATATAACACAATATATCCTAGTACCAGCCAATATCAACAATAATATAAGTAACTTATATGTAATAGCCAATAACTATTATAAAACTACTTAAATAATAGAATTTCTAACCTATAAGATAATTCATAGAATATAGCAAACGATAGTAGAATATGCATAAGTACCTTACCCAAATGAAAAAAATATATATCTTAAGAAAACAAATAATGTGCAAAAACATCCTAATGTATATATATATGTATATATGTACATAGAATCACAATAGTTTTAGCATCAGGCGGCGTCATATCTTCTTGATAAATTGTATATGTTTCTCCTGTAGAAGAGCGGACAAGCCCGAAAGCTTGAGAAGACCGGAATAAAAGATACTCATCCCCATAAACGTTTTACTTTGATATCAGAAATCAATGATATTATTAAGGCTTTGTCTCAAACAATGTGAATCGTAAATGAGCGCGGCGAGTGATACGGTAGACGCCGTCTCAACTTAACTTTCATTGTCTGATAAAATGCCAGTGAAGCGGAAAGCACAAATTAAAATTCACGATTTAAAATCATAACAGCAGGTGTGGTTAGAAAAACTGAAAGGGCGCTGTGAGTAGCTCTTAAACTTATCGGAAAATCACAAGGCAACAACATGACATTCCTTAAGTAAGACAACTGGAAATTTTTGTAAGTCACTCTAGATATAGACTCTTAACTCAGGGTGTAGACTACTTCACCAATTTAATTAATTAAATAATTAAATAGTATGGCTTTTCACTAGGTATATACTTCTAAAGTATTTAAGATGAAATATATACTAAATTCGTGGCCCCACGTTGGGCGCCACTGTCGCGTTCCCGATTTTAGACCTACGAGAACGGAGCATGTAAGGAGTGACTTAATAGAATTTCCTTATTAAGATATACTAATGTGACATAGAAATAGACAAATATAGGACTTAAACACCTAAGGATATACTTGATGAAATGTAGTATCAGATAATATACAAGGTACAGGAGGACTCAAGTGGAAAACTTTCTTCCATACAAGGCGTGGGAGGGACCCCCCAAAGGAGGCCCAGCGTCAGGGAGGCCCGATGACAGATCCTTCCTGGAATGTGTATAGAGTCGGGTGTCTCGGGAACTAACGAAGTCTCAGGAATGTGGGAATCCAACTTCTCAGGGGTTTCAACTTATTCTCCCTCCTGCTTCTTCTTCCATGAAAGAGAAAATGGCGACCCCTTCTCCCTGCCTCCCTCGTTGTCCCAACCATTCCTTTAAGAGATTCACCTTCTGGCGATTTAGCAACCCACTGAAGACGCTGGGAGCTATTTCATAGTGGAAAATTATAGCAACAGGTCTCTATAATTCCTACAGATCAACTGTAAATAGATTCATATTAAGGCATTTATAACCCAAATAACACAAACGATAGTCAAACATACAAATCTGTTTTGCGTCATATCGTACCCTCCCAACAGCGTAACAATAGCCCAAGGGATCAGGAAATATGGTATAACGACATATTATAAAGCACACCCAATATAGGCGCAATAGTCAGAAATCCCATATCAAAAGAAAACAATAGCCATAACTCACCAATATACAACAGTTAAGCAATA